AGCTGCCTGGATTCCCATGGAAAAGTGATGTGCAGGGGCAGGTTTAGGGCAGCCTTACTCAGATCATTTTAGAGAACTCCCATGAGTCCTTCAGGTGAGCCCTGAGCCAGCCTGTTTTAGAAGGAATGCTTTTATAAAGTGATGTCTTCATGGCTTGAGGACATTATTCACAAGAATTAGTGATTTATTTAGGATATCATAAATGGTGAAAAGAACACAGACTTCAGAGTCAGAGAGGTGGGTTTAGATCTAGTTTCTCCCTGTTGGTAGTTCTCCTTAGGACCTCTCCACATTCTCTTGGACCTCTGCCCTAATTTCTTAATATTTAATATAGAGGATAACGTACATAAAATGCCTAAAGTAGCTCAGTCTCTTAGTAGGTCTACGGCCACTGCCTGTCTTCCTTCTTGCTAGCAGAAGTAGGAGATTGTCCCATTGAATCTGGAGAGGCGCTATGTAAGTGAGAGGGTATGTATATGAGGGGGTATGTAAGTTGGGAATAATGGACATTTTGCCTTCTTTTTTCCCCAGTATAATTTATCAGTAGAAAAAGATAGAACCACTGATAGAGAAAGACATGCATTCCTTCACTAAATTCAGTGGGCTTTCACCTGCTATGCCATCATTTGCTCTGCACTATAACGTTTTGTTAACAGTAAATTACTCTGTAGTGAATTTCTACCCTTGGTCTTAAAAACTAGGCATTTGCTTTGGGTAAATTATAATTTTTTAGTTAACAGTCTGTTGCTACTTGGAATGGTATGGAATGTACTTGCTTAAAATATAGTACATGAGGGTTTTTTTGCTTCCTGTGAAAATTTGAGTCTTCTGAAGTTTTAATATTTTTTTTTTTTGCCTCCTTCAAACCTTTAGCCTCTTAGCAATGCATACCACGAGTTAGCACAAGTTTATTCAACCAATAACCCCTCAGAACTCCAAAACCTGGTGAACAAGCACAGTGAAACTTTCACTCGAGATAACAACATGGGACTGGTGAAGCAATGCTTGTCATCTCTTTATAAGAAGAATATTCAGAGGCTAACAAAGGTGAGGAAAGTGCTGCCCTTAGATGGCATCTCCTGACTCCCTCGGGTCCTTGTTTTTCTTCTCTCTTTAGTGCAGAG